CCCCCCCCGCCGCGGGGTCGCTGGGCCCTCCCCGTGGGCTGTTGGAGGGGCTGATGCGCGGCGCCGTTGCAGAGCGGTGGAGGACGACGTGGGACGGAGCTGCCGGGCAGAGGCTTATTCCCTTCACATCCCATTTTGATAATTGTATTATTTTTCAATGTGGGGGGCGGGTATTTTATCATACAATCGCTTGGGGCGGGCAGGAGCCAAACCTCCTCCTCGAGGGGGCTTGTTTTGGGCCCGGGGCTCCCTCTTGCTGCAGGAGTTGCAGATGATTATATGTAGCAGAGATTTTACAATAAGATATTTTCCCTTTTTCAAAGCTTTGTCTCGTTTCTGCCTCCCCCCGTGCTGGGGCCACGGTCACACCAGCGTTGCCCCCATCCCCGTCCTTGGCCTTGCAGCGATGCTGGGGCAGCAGAGACGGGACGGACCCCTGGGTGCTGCCTTTCCCCCGAGCTCCCGCCCTTCTTCCCCCTCTTAATTGCTCGCGGTCGTGGCCCGGAGCGTGTTAGCGGTCCCGTGATCTCCGGGTTTGTGGATCGTCGTGTTCTCCTCGGGCCCTGCAGCCGGAGGGGGGGATACAGCCCCGTGCTCCTCGTTCAGCCTCGCCTCCCCCCGCCTCTGATCTCTCTCTGGCCCCGTCTGCAGGGAGTGTGGCCCCCTAAAATGCTCGGCTCCCCCCGGTTTGGTCCCCGTGCCGCTGGCCTTGCTGCTCGGTCATGCGCGGCCGAGTCAGGGCCCCGTGCTCAGGGCAATGAGTCCGCGGCGGAGCCCCGGGCTGACTCAGCCACCCCTTTCTTGGCAGCCGGGGAGGGTGAGCTCACGCGGGGGGTGCGGGTCGCTCTCCCTGGGGACCCCCGCGGTGGGCGATGGGGTGACATGGGTGTAGTTTAGAGGTGACTCCAGCCTGCATCCATGCCTCGGTGCTGCTCCCCTCCCCTTAACTCTGCCCCTTGCTGCCCAGGACAGTCCATCCGCGCGCCCACAGCTGGATGACGATGATGATGTCCCCAGCGTGGCGTGCCTGGGACAGGGGACTGATGCCACCGGGTCACACCGGGGCCTTCCGGGCAGTGAACAAGGTTTTCTGACTTGTCGCGGCGGGAGCCGCGTGACGAGGTGTCAGTCACCGCAGAAAGCACCGTCTGGCCCCGCTTCCCCGTGGCGTTGCTGCCTGGGCTCGGGGATGAGCCTGGTCCCGCCCCCCCCCCGGGCCCTACCTGTGCCCCCCGGAACTGGGCACGGGGGGGTGGCGGGGGAAGCAGTCCTGGGTGGGGGACATTAGGGACAGAGATGAGGTCCTGTCCTCTGCTCTGGATGTCACGCAACGACCCCAAGTTGCTGGGGAGGGTCTAATCCTGCCGTGTAGTGCCTCTCCTGAAGCAGTGGGTGCTCAGCCC